AGAAGAATCTAAAACTGAATGCTGGCACCAAAGTGGATATGAAAACAAATTTGGGAAAGACTCAAGTCATGTTCAAAAAATACGTGACCCTTCAAGCTGTTGAAATCAGTTGATTTAGGTTTGAGGAAGTGTAATGCTACGTGCCTGGACGAGGTGTTCTCTGTAAAAGAGAACTAACTTTATAAAGCCAGTAGAAAAATAGACATGGAATGAAGCACCTTTGATAGACTGAAACTGTTATTTTTTGGGAGACTGCCCATATGCTTGAAACAGATGGTTTTCTACCAGTGTGTCTCTTCCGTGCTAATGTACGAAGTCTGGACCTTAGGTATGAAAGCTGTTCAGAGACAACAAATTCAGAGCTCAGCGCAGCATAAGAATGCGTAAGTCGTTGGTTGAGAGTAACAAGAAAAAATAAGAAGCTCGAATGGAGCTTAACACAGAAACAGACAGATTAAAGCGCAAAGAGAGGCCTACGATTTCGCTGCAAAAACGAAGAAGTTGAACTGGCAATAGTCTAAACATTTTTCAAGAGCGCGCTGTCGCTGGATCGAAGAGATATCACACTGTAAGCGGCCTGTACAAAAACTTCCAGACCGATGGCAAGAGGAGAATAAAGAAATCTGTTGGAGCAACATGAATAAAAGTTGAGAAAAAAAGAATTTCTGGGCAAAATCTAGGAAAAGCTATCGTCCAGCAGTGGATAAAAAAACTGGTAACGACGATTATGATCGTTATGTTGCCCTGATAATGATTATGATAAATCTTTTATGAAAACACTATGAAAGTGCCAAAATTTTCCATTATTTAAACACTGGTAATGGCATATGCCACTAAATGGAAAGTCAAGTTATAGATAGGTAAGTTACGTAACTGCCATTACAACCGCCTGAAATTGGAATCGATAAATTGTGACGTAACAAACAAAGTAGACGAACATTTCCCATGAGACTTGTCGCAACGTATTCAGTATAGAGATCAGGTCAGTTCAGTTGGCACAATGTATGATTCACCATCGAAAGTGTGGCTCGAATTCCATCCGGCATAACTAATCGTTTACCTTTCCGAGGTACATAAAACAGTGGGAACCACCATGTGGAAAGAAAGAAAGCAGGTGGAGGAGTATACGCTGCAGAGGCCATCAAACTTTGGACACTATCCTCAAAAAAGTGCTCCTGTTTGATGATGTCGTGCGAAGATCATCACCAAGAGATAACCTACATGAAACAGTGTGATACGTAGCATGTAAATGCACAGGAAACCGACATTTCAACGATTAGAAACCCTTCATTTTAACATACAGGAAGCAATTTAAATTGCTTTCAAATTAGTCAAAGCTACAGTATTCTAGTGACGTTTGCGACATTTCAGAAAAACTAAGGAAAATGTGCTGATATGCTTCAGTCGAAAAGCGATTCTTTGAAAACTGGCAGCAAGAATGCGGAGCTTGAACCGCGGCAGAAAACAATTTAGTCCACTTATGACTGCCAGAGACGTGAACAACTCAGTCAATACGTACCAAACTGTACTGGATCAGTAAGTAGAAGATTACACTTTTCGTCTCGTCGATTTCACGGAGATGGAATTTGCACGTGGGACATCATCAACCAGATGAACCTCGTAAATTCTACCATCAACGCAACGTATGTCTATGATGATAAGCGATTACTAATCGAGCCCATGACTTTACCAAAAATTTCCATGCACTGTTAAACATGGAGGAAAATTTAGACTGTTTGCGAAAGCTTATTTTGTCTCATCAAACGGGATAAAGCGCAAGGTAAAAGATCCGGAATTAAACGGAGTTACAACTTCAGAGAAAGGCCATTAAAATTACAGTTATAGCCGATACATGTTACGGCGTAACCGTAAACTTCTGCACTTGCATCTTTGATGCGCATTCTTTAACTGTCTCATATTATCATCAGTCTTACTCAAGCTTATTTTAATGCAAGCCCTCGATAATACCCAGAAAAGTATATGAGAAAAATGTACTCAGAAAATTATACTATAAGCATCAGAATATGTCAAATGTTGCATAACTCCGCCAGGACAAAATTTCACGGTTATTGCACCGCCCTTTCCTCCCAGCTGCCTAAAGCTGAGGTAGCATATGGGACTTATGTTACCCTCCAGACATTTAGGAGCAAGGGGGTGGTGCAGTATGCCGTGAAATCTGGTGTTGGAGAAGTTATCCTTTTTTTATAGTATACTGTAAAATGTTTCTATACTGTAGAGTACAGACAGGTTTTCCCAGAGAAATATGGACCTTCTACTGATTTTCACTTAGGTTAATGTTTTTCCATTCTTGCTCGAAATTAACAAAATTCCAACTCCAAATTCTTGTATAGTCCATTCTGTTTCTGTCTTGAAATATTAGGCAGTTTCGTTAGCAATGCTACTCTTTAACTAGCTTTGCTAGCATCTCTACACATTTATAAAGATTCTTGCTACGCAATTAGGTCGTTCTGACTCCTTACCCTTTCTATTTTTTTACTATGATTCCATTAATATTTCACAAAGATAGCTCATACTATTTCATTCATCGCATAGCCTTTCATACAAGACCGTGATAGGATTAATGCTAGACAGATACTTCCCTGAAACCGGTCAGTACTGTCCTCGTTGGAAACAATCCCTACATTGATTTTTATTAGGCTCACACCTTGTGCCAATACATATCTACACTAATACAAGACAGCGTGATATGCTTTCACAGTATGCGACTGAAATATGTTAAAATAAATGATATGTCTACAAAAATAGAATATGAATATACATGAACATTGAAAAGGGTGTAGTCTGACAATACGGCGAGCGTGGAAATTAATTAGGGCAACGTTGCAAGTTCACTAATAAAGTGAGCATGCGTGCATCTGCGCCACCTTCGATAAGCAATATTTATTTAAAACGTACAGAAGAAACATATGCTTCATCTCTTCATGGTACGACCAGTGACAGTCATGACTGACGGACAGACAGACTGAAAAAGAACTAATTCATTTACTCACCTCTTTAAGCAACAGTGCGCAAGCATGAGACGGGGGATAGCAGCAGCTTCAGTCTGACCCAGTCAATCCTGGTAATTTCGCGACACTGTTCTGAAGAGCTGCAGTCTTTTCTTCCAACGAAATTTCTAGGAGTTTAACACAAGCTTCGTGATCGAACTGCCTTGCGTTATCCAAAGGTGTGTGCTTCCACCTAAACACAATAAAACGGTGACTAAACAAAGAATTAGCTGTCGAAATTATCTACGGCAGAAGCCAATTCCTAAAAAAATGCATGAATACCATGCTCGGCAGAAATATTTTTGAACTAGTATCAAGTTTCTCTTTCGACAGACTAGTTCTGACAAGTAGTCAACATAATTGAAAAAAATCAGTTTATAATACCTATCTCGAGGTTCCAGTTCAACTTTACAGTATTTTATTAGGAACTCGACCACCTCAGCTTTGCCTTCTGATGCTGCGACGTGCAATGGCGTCCTGTCATCATAGTTCCTTATGTTCATTTTCACGCCTTGCAAGAAAAAGCTAAATCTTATAATATTAAAAGGACGAAGAAATATATGCCAAATTGAAGCACCATTTCAAAGCGTGTAAGTCGCCATTGGCTGCAGCGT